AGAACGGTTCACCCAATGTGCCCTACAGAACAATACGACGGGGAAAACTGCTGGTCTTTAATCAAATTTTTAGCTGTCGCTGAACCTGATACATTAACGCACCTATGTAACTTATACTATATAATTGGATGAAATAGTGAAACTACTGTTAATATCGCATTCTACTGGATATCAAAAGGAAGATATTTCCTTTTAATTGCTTTGAAGCAACAAAATTGTCTCCCAAGAATTCACTATATATATTGATATAATTGGAAGAATACATTTTAAAAAATCACATATAAAAACCTAATAATATTAAGAATTTGACAATATATAGTGCCATGGTGTATACTAATGGATAGCGGCTCGGATATGAATCGTAGAGCGAAGTTCGAATATCTCTTTTGTTACATTGACTTAGGTGAAAATAACCTTGGGAAAGATATAAATCGATCTCTTCCCCACCTCCATAAATATAGTAAAATAGTAGGATATGCAAGGTCCTATAGCTTTGTATGGCGACCGGTCTAGGAAAGTGACAACTGTGAATTTAAAACAAGTAGCCATAGGTTAAGAAGCTAACCGCAATTGGCCAGACCCTATGAGTACGACTGCATTAATGAAGACATGGTCAAACTGTTAGCAGGTAATAACAGGGCAGACTGGGTTTTATAGTCTTGGATGGCAACAAATCTAGGACAACTCTGAATTCAAAACCGCCAACCACAGTTTAAAGAGACTCACAACACCAAATTGGCCAGGCCTAGTAATTACGGGTACAATAATAAAGGCATGATCTATCGGTATAGAAGTACAACTCTGAATTTAGGACCTCCAAACTATAGGTTAAAAAGCCTCACTAACCTGAAATTAGCCAGACTTGTTCAGTACGTTATTTGCATTATTCGGACTATTGTCCTCTTCTTTGTCGCTATATTTATCACAACGTTTCGGCCGTTGTACGCTCCGGCCTTCTTCAGGTGGTTGGAATTTCGAACTGAACCCTTTATTTCGCTCACTGGGGTTGACCCAAACAGTGTGAGTTCAATACCCGTTTAAGGCAGTGGAGAACTTTCAGAGGGAAATTAGCAGGAGATAACTGATAACTGACATCCATCAAACATGGCACGTGGAACTAGAACAGTCTACCCCAGTGAGCGAAATAAAGGGTTCAGTTCGAAATTCCAACCCCCTGAAGAAGGCCGGAGCGTACAACGGCCGAAACGTTGTGATAAATATGGCGACAAAGAAGAGGACAATAGTCCGAATAATGTAAATAATGTACATAATACCTCATCTCAGAAAAATATAGACAGATACTGAAAGGCCCAAACGTTGTAATAATATGGTGACAAAGATGAGGATAATAGTCCGAATAATGTAAATAATGTACATGATACCTCATCTCAGAAATATAGACAGATACTGAAAGGCCGAAACGTTGTAATAAATATGGCGACAAAGATGAGGATAATAGTCCGAATAATGTAAATAATGTACATAATACCTCATCTCAGAAATATAGACAGATACTGAAAGGCCGAAACGTTGTAATAATATGGCGACAAAGATGAGGATAATAGTCCGAATAATGTAAATAATGTACATAATACCTCATCTCAGAAATATAGACAGATACTGAAAGGCCGAAACGTTGTAATAATATGGTGACAAAGATGAGGATAATAGTCCGAATAATGTAAATAATGTACATGATACCTCATCTCAGAAATATAGACAGATACTGAAAGGCCGAAACGTTGTAATAAATATGGCGACAGAGATGGGGATAATAGTCCGAATAATGTAAATAATGTACATAATACCTCATCTCAGAAATATAGACAGATACTGAAAGGCCGAAACGTTGTAATAATATGGCGACAAAGATGAGGATAATAGTCCGAATAATGTAAATAATGTACATAATACTTCATCTCAGAAATATAGACAGATACTGAAAGGCCGAAACGTTGTAATAATATGGCGACAAAGATGAGGATAATAGTCCGAATAATGTCAATAATGTACATAATACCTCATCTCAGAAATATTGACAGATTGTTGAGTACGGTTGTACTTATGAAGGCATGAGTACTGATTCTCTAACAGGAGTGTGGAACATTTAGATTTGGATCTGAAATAGGTTTCACTTGACCCTGGAGTCATTCATAGCCACTTCTGTCAATATTTGTAAACGAGTTAAACAATAATATTAGAAACAAGATAGACTTTTGCACTTTTTTTTTTTACATCTTGTTAGAATGATGGCTTCTCGTGCAACGAAATTAGTTATTTTAAATAAATGCTGGTCTGTGAGGAAGAAGTGTAACTATTCGGAAATGAAATCTATCGAAGCAAAAACGCAGGAATTATTTAATGAAGAATGATGAAGACAATTATCGCGGAACTCCAAGATGTCGTAACGAAAAAGATTAACGGCATTTGTCAGGTTTACGACCACATCAAGTTGAAACACCGGTCCGATCACCGAAGTTATACAACGGCAATCAGTTATGTTCCTTGCGTGATACACGCTTAAGCGATCATGTATCTTTCGATACATGACTGACAAAGCAGATTTTTTCCCGTAGTAGGTTTCCATTTCTTTCTGCGGTAGACCTGTTGCCATCCAAGGCTATAGAACCCGGTCTGTTCTGCTATTTGCCCATAGCTTGATTAGCACATAAGTGAATGTAATGGATTCGACTCGAATAATAATAAATGTCTTGAGCAATTATGTAATAAAAGTTCCAGGACGTCCACTGGCTATCTTTCAGAACCTAATCGGTAAACACTGACCGGTTGTTTGGGTCGTACAGGCTCTCGAGGGGAGGAAATGAGAGTTCATATTTTAAAAGCTCCCCACCAATATGATTGCTTGAGGACCGTAGCGTAAGAATTAATTCAGTCAGTTATGCGTCATACATGATACACACTTAGGCGATCATGTGTCTTTCGCTACATGACTGACGATGCAGATTTTTTTTCCCGCAGTAGAATAGTTGCCATCCAAGCCTATAGAACCCGGTATGTCCTGCTATTTAACCATAGCTGGGGAAGAAGAAGAGGATTCATACATTCCCCAAGGGTGTTAACACGTAAGTGAATTTAATGGATTTGACTAGAATTCAAACTCGGCTCTCGGATTGCTAGCAACAGCAATACTGGTCAATAACTTGATGGGTAACCGTTTGGGAATACCAGGTGCTGTAAGTTTGGATGTGTGGGTGGTGTCATGTTAATTGGAGAGCCGAGTTCGAATTCCAATCGAATTTGTTACATTCATTTTCGTTCAAATACTCTTGGGAAAGGTATGAATCCATCTCTTCTACCCCACCAGCTATGATTTGAATAGCAGGAGAGACTGGGATCTATAGCCTTGGGTTGCAACCAGCCTACTGCTGAAAGAAATGGTAAGCTACTGTTTAGTTAGTCATGAATCGAAAAAGACAAGATAAGACTTTTATCACTAAATCATTATCTCATTCTGTTCATTATCTATCTATCTATCTATTTTGGTCTCTTTATCTATCTATCTATCTATCTATCTATCTATCTATCTATCTATCTATTTTGACCCGTTTATTATCTATCTATCTATCTTGGCTTGTTCATTATCTATCTATCTATCTATCTATCTATCTATCTATCTATCTATCTATCTATCTATCTATCTATCTATTTTGACCCGTTCATTATCTATCTATCTATCTATCTATCTATCTATCTATCTATCTATCTATCTATCTTGATCTGTCCATTATCTATCTATCTATTTTGGCCCGTTTCTTTATCTATCTATCTATCTATCTATCTATCTATCTATCTATCTATCTATCTATCTATCTATCTATCTTGGGCTGTTCATCATCTATCTATCTATCTATCTATCTATCTATCTATCTATCTATCTATCTATCTATCTATTGAGCCTGGTCAGTGCCTAGATGAATGACTGTTTCCGTATACCAGGTGCTGTAAGCTTGGATATGCGGTTAGCGTAATGGACAATGGCTCGGAATTATTAATCGGAGAGCCAAGCTCCAATTCCAGTTGTGGCCGTTTTATTCACTTACGCGCAATTACCATTGTGAAAGGTGTGAATCCACCTCTTCTCTCCCAACTAGGGGTTAATTAGTAATACTTGGATCACGAAATCATTATTATGTTAAAAAAATATTACAATATAAAAAAAATATTTCTGACTTTAAATAAACTTAAAAACGAATCAATCAATCAATCAATCAATCAATCAATCAATCAATCAGATAATCATTAGTCAGTTTCACCTCCCTCCCATTTTCCTTTTTTTCTTCATTTTTGCCTAATTTTGTTCCTCTCTCTCTCTCTCTTCTCCCTCCCTTTCTCTTTATTTAAATTCCCATTGCACATCTTACTTCTAAGCACTGGGCAAGAGCACATTCTTCAATAGTAGTAGTTCCGCACAAGCACACAGACACACATACAGACAGACACAGACACACACACAGACACAGACACAGACAAACAGACACACACACACAAATCCACGCACGCACGCATGCGCGTGCATGCCAAGACGCATGCACGAACCAACGTACGCCTCTACACACACATGCTTTCGCCATTTTTTATCTCTTTCTTTGATTTTTGCCCAATTTAATTTATTTGCATTTTTATTTCCACTGCCACTCACATTTCTAAGCATTTCACAACTATAAACTCTCCTTGATTCTTGCTCTACATATATACATGCACATACAAAAAAACCCCAAAAAACAAATACAGACGCACACAAGGAATTAAGTTCTCAGCTAGTGATGATTAGAACCCCTCCTTCCAATGAAGTACACTTTAGCGACACAATGGTGATAGAAAAACGCGTGCCCGTGCGCGAAATGTTGATCCCTGAAGACCTGTACGAAAAAGCAATTTTAAAAGCTTAAGTCTTTCATTTTGTATTTCAGGGAGGCATCTTCCCTAGCCAACAGCAATTAGTCTGTTTATGAGCTTAAACAGAGAGGAAGAGTGAGAGTTTAAGGGAGAAGGAGAGAGGTGGAGAATAAGAGAGAGTGAGGGATAGAAAGAGATAGATGGGGAAAAAGAGAGAGAGAGTTGGGGAGAAAGAGAGAGGGCGAAAGAGAGAGAGTGGGTAAGAGGAGAGAGGAGGAGAAAGCGAGAGGCGAAATAGATAGAGCAGAAAGAGAGAGAGAGAGTGGGAGAAAGAGAGGGAGGGGTAAGAGAGAGATTTCTACTCCTCTCTTTTTATCCCATCGAGAGAGGGGATAAAAAGAGAGGAGTAGAAATAGAGAGGTGGAAAGAGATAGCGGGGAGAAAGAGAGAGGGGAGAAAGAGAGAGGGGAGAAAGAGGGAAAGAGAGACGGGAGAAAGAGAGAAAGGAGAGAGGGAAAGAGAGACGAGAGAAAGAGAGAGGGGAGAAAGAGAGAGGGGAGAAAGAGAGAGAGGGAAAGAGAGATAGATGGGGGAAAGAGAGAGGTGGAAAGAGATAGATTGGAGAAAGAGAGAGAGAGAGGAGGAAAAAGAGATAGGGAGAAATAGAGAGAGGGGGAGAAAGAGAGAGAGGAGATAAATAGAGAGAGGAGAAAGAGAGAGAGTGGGGGGAGAAAGAGGCTTTTTCAGATCATCGCATTTCTCGAGGTTACCAATTAAACGTTAGAATTTTCCGTGAAAAGAACTTATTTTTTTTTCACTTCCTTCCTATTTTCCCTTACATATAATTATTTTCCTCGTTCTCCCCTCAAAGCTTAAATCCCCAAATTCTCAATGGGGCCCTCGTAGTGTTTCATATTCATAATTCCATAGTTACCAAAAATCGTTCCTTTGAAATATTTCCTTTTCTAAGAATCCAACCCAGTTAACCATCAAGGGAATAAAAAGCCAAATCTGTCAAAAGACAAGCAAAGTAAAGGAAAACGAAATGAACTCTTATACTCAGAAACAGGAAAAAAAAAACAGCTCGAATTTCTCGGACACCGAATGAGGAAGAAGGCCTCGGAAAACTGAAAACTCACAGGGCATACCGAACACAAGAGAGTTAATCGAAAGCAGCAAACCTGATGTCCTTGTTGGAATGGATGGCGAAACGGGGGGGGGTTCGAGGCTTAGCAAAGGGAGAAACACCGCTCAGGGTCACAAAGGATAGGAAGTCTTGGAGAGCCATGATCGCATATGAAGGGAAGCGGAAAAAAATGGGCTTATGTAAATGGATGCCAAAATAGGGACTGGGAAGGATAATAAAGGACAAATATTGCTTTATAAATGATAGGAAGATGTGGTGAGCCATGATTGCAGCAGTCTTGAAGGGAAGCTTCACATAAAAGAAGGACCAAGTCTCTAATCACCTACCTTACTGTATTCTCTTCATTTATGTTATTTACATTGTTCGGACTGTTGTTCACGTATATGTTAGGCAGCTTGGTACAACGCTACGACAACTACCTGTATGTCTCAGACAAGAAGTGGTTCTTGTTCTTGATTAGGATCTGTCACAGTTTTCGTTCTGTTTTCATTGTTGGATCTTTCTTTACTTTACTGTGGCTACCATTTCTAATGCGGCCTTTCAGTTGTCTTGTATATTCTTACTTATCTATCATTACAGTCGCATTGCCTTTGTTTATCTTGTAGTATGATGATGTATGATGATGTATGAAGAAGACTGGGGTGTACAACGGTCGAAACTCCGTGAATATATTAGTAAGGATGATGACAATAGCCCGAAAAATACAAATAATGTAAATGATAAACGTAATCTTTATTGAGTACGCGTGTTTGAGCTTGTTTTTAAGCAATGTGGAATTTATGTCGACTAACCTAGATATTGAGAGTCTTTATAAGGAAAAGGATCTTTTAAATAATGCTAAGCCTTCATCCTGTCTATATATGTCTGATCCCATTCTGAAGCGTGTTTTTTTTATGTACAGAAAGCCAGCATCTCTATTAAGTTATCGATTGGTATATTGGTGTCTCTTCTCCTAAGGATGAGTTCGAGGCCAGTTTGTCCTTAACTACCCAGTGTGTCTCCTCCGTGGGTACCTTGGTGACTAAACTCACCACGTCTAGGCTCGCCATCTAGTTAGATTGGATGGGAGCATGTTTGATTATTATTTGCACGAAGTGGGAGGATTTTCTGACATAGGAAGGTGATTTTTCTTTTAATGGTTCGATTATATCGACAAAGAAGCGGCTCAGAGGGTGGCGCACAGTGCCTTGGCAGGTAACAATCGGCCTGAACGGAATACTGTCTTTGAGGAATTTGGGGGAGACCGTATATGTGATGTAGCTTGGTATGAAGGGGTTCTTATTGTTAATTAGGATCTGGATAGTTTTCATTCTGTTTTCATTGTTGGATTCTTCTTTACTTTACTATAGCTACCATTTTTAATGAGGTCTTCCAGCTTTTCAAGCAATGTAAATAGGGTAAATAATTACAATACCTCATTTGAGACATATAGACAGACATTGTATTATGTTCGGTTTTTTTTTTTTTTGATTTATGCATTTTCTGTCATGTCAGTTTACAGTTTTTCTTTCTAAAATAAAATTTTAAACTTGTTTCTGATAGTTCCTCATCTTCTATTTTTATCTTCGGATCTGTGAGGAAAGAATATGAAAAAAGACATTGACAGACTCTGTGCAAAGAGAAAAGAAGGAGAAATAGAACTCGTTTGCATACTTCATACACTGAGTGGTACAGAAAGGTAGCAATTGTTAGTGAGTTAAGGAAAATAAAACATCAAATAAAGCAGGAAATGGCACGTAGAATTATTTTTTTATTCAATATAAAAAAGGGAACAAATATTGTATATATTGAACAAATATTGTACAGAATATATTAGATATTTCTATTCAAAATATACTTCCAAAGAATCCTTGTTTGTGGCAGTCAATTCTGGGAGATCACCTTAAAGATGAAGAAGAGACTTGAAGCCACAGAAATGTGGTTCTAAAGAAACATGTTGATAATATCATACACAGAACATGTGAGCAACGCCAAAGTTTTCGAAAAAAAAAATGAAACAAAAAGGACACGTATTTTTTTAAATCATTTCACTGCAAGTAAGGCAGTAAAGCCACTAAGACGCAAGGGGTTACATCGTATGAAGAAATAAGAAAAAAGAGAGACATTATAAATGTTTGTTGGTTTGTTTTATGGCATATCAACCTCAGTGGGTCATTTAATGCCAACAATTTTTTTTAAATAAGTTCATCGTGATAGTTTAGAAAAAAAGGCGTGTATATATACATATATATTTGAACCATTTTTTAATTACTCATATTTTTGAGTACAATCCAACTTCTTAAGAATGTATAGCTGCTTGTAATACTGCTTTTTTTATTTTTTAAAGTATTGCTGATAATAATTTTTCCTTCAAAAATTATTGCTACTTATATTTTTTTTATTACAAAGTATTTCTGGTATTAAAACCTATTTTTACACAAGTTTGGATGTTAAGTATTTGCCCATCGCTGGGACCCTAACAGTTGCTACCACCCCAGGTCAGTGTGAACCTGAGAACACCAGCAATTAAAAGGTGGTTCTACGCTCCTCAAAACCTCCTGATCAGAGGACTTGATGTTGGACGTAGTTTATCGTCATACTCAGGACGGGAAACATTATAAAGAAGAGAGAATAAAAAATAATAAAAAAACAGTAATTAAGAAGACAGTAGAAAACGGTTGTCATTGTATTTTAATTTCTGAAGATCAAAGTTGGGTTGAAAACACGTAGACGGATGACAGTTCCACGAGTGAGAAAAGAAACTGTTAGCATCGACCTTATGGTTGCATCTAGCCAATTAAACTGTGAATCGATCAGTCCTTGCCACCAGTCAAGAGTATATGTATCTTAGAGGAGAGTTCATTAGAACAGTTAACATGAATGTATTTATTTTAAAAAAAAAAACACACACACAGAGAAACTACGAGACGCCAATTCAGAACCAATAATATTGCTGATTCTTTTTTGAGTTTTATGAAGAATCTCTAAATATATAACAGACCATCTGTGGCAGGAATAATCAAAGTATGTTCGAATGATAGACTGATAAATTTTCTAGGATAGATTACACTATTTAAGATTATAGATTCCAGAGAGAAAAATTGCCTAACACGACACATTGGACGAAATTTATTGCAGCAGACTTAATAATGGATTCAATATAATCTTTCCAATTGATATCAGCCGAAAATGTCAACCCGATGTCAGCTGGGGGTTAGCATCAGCCATACTAATGAAAGGAAGAAAGAAGTCTCTCAGATGATTAATAGATAGAAGGTTTGTTTTGGGGGCCTTAAAATTAGCGTGCCATTCGTTGTCCCAATTAAAAACAAACGGTAGGCCATTTTTTTTTTAAATTCATATTCTTAATATCGGGAAGAGACGGTAGAAATTCCTAGGTTTTTATTTTCTACCCCTAATTTAGCTGCTGTTCAGTTTGATAATATTTAATTATGAGGAAAAGGTGATTGGAAAATGTAATACTCACAGGACTAATTGAAGATAAGATGGTCAGAAGAAAACAATGCATAACCTATCTAGTGAGCTTCAATAAATAGATAACAAAAAAAAAATTATTAAGAGCTACAAAGGACAGGAAATTGTGGAGAGCCATGATCCCCAACATCCTTAAGGGACAGTGAGCATAGAAGAAATAGGAGTGTATCGCACTGGATGCTGGTCAGTTTTCTTAAGGGAAGTGTAGAATCTCGAAACATGGGAATTGTAGTTTTATAGATGAATGCGGAAATCACCAGGGACAGAATAGGGATTTTCCAAGCATTGCTTAGATGTGGCACAAGGCCAAAAGTAGGGAGCACCCAGTGAGAATCGAACTCACTACTCAGTCGTAATTGTTTTGAGAGACATGCTTTCTAACCATTAAACCGCCTCGGGGTGACCTAAAAGATTTTCTAAGCGCAGCTTAGATGTGGCACATGGCCTAAAGCATGGGGCACCCAATGAGGATAGAACCCACTACTGTAATGGTCGTAGCGAGACAAGCTTGCTTAGCCATTACACCACGTCGAGATGTCTAACCCAGGACAAAATATGTAAGCAACAAAACACTTCCAAAGAAAATGGCAACTCGAAAATCTGTACTGTACTGGGCGGATTGAGCCGGCTTCTTCCTGTTATGAGAAGAAGATTATTGGGATAAATTACAGAAGTAGGGTACCCAGGCCTACTCGGATAACGTTCTTGCTTGCCGCGGGATTCCCACAGACGCAGAGACAGGAACGACCAGAAGCCGCCGGTTACCGATGCAGACGCTCCTTGGATTTTCACCAGAGCCCTTTGTTAGCCGGCGTGTGTGTCAGACCTGTCCGCCTTGGGTGGCCCTACCAGGAACGAAGTTCCGGGCGGCATAGCTCTGACACTAACGTTTACACCCCCCCACCGACTGTGAGGTAAGGTTGGACTTTGGGGCTTACAGTACCAGGTGTTCCCAAGCGGTCCCCCATCTAAGTACTGACCTGGCTCTACGATGCTTAACTTCGGTGATCGAACGAGAACCGGTGTTTCAGCGTGATTTAACCGTAAGCCAACTCGAAAATCACTCCTACTTAAAATCCGAAAGAGAAAGTAGATATTTCTGTGTCACAAAATGAGG